ATTTTTTCTCAGCATATTGTATAGTCACTAGGTGTGGGGAAAACTTGTCTTCTGGTTAAATTAAGTTAATTTAATGGTCACTTTGGGTCTAAAAATGAAAAAGGAAGAAAGAAAATGTCATCTCAGGGAGAAAAAAGACAATTTAAATGAGAGAGAATAATTTTGTACATCCAGTAACTTGTTTATATAGATCTCTGCAGAATCTATAAAATCCTGTATTCTGTCAATCCAATTCAATTATATTGTCACCAGCAGGCCATATTGACTGTGACATCTGCTGAGTCACATTTAATCTATTTGTTTCAAGAAGCTGGAGAACTTCTAAGGACTCAGGCTAAGAAACTCTGCCACTAGTAAATATTACTGTTAATTATCATTAACTGAATGGTTACTTTATGAGGAACATCCTACTGTTTTACTTGTATTATTTTCTTAATCTGCATAGTTATCTGAGGATGTATGGCAAGCATTCAAGATCTGCTTTGTAAAACAAGCAAACAAACAAAAAAGTAAAAAGAAGGACTAGACCAGCAAAACCTTATTCTCTTCACTAGCAAATCTCCTATCTTGCTTCATCAAAGATCAACCTGAGTAAGTAACAGAATGACACTTTCAAGCTTAGACATCAGATGAGCCACCACATAATGCTAGTGTCAGGACAAATTCTGACAAGGGGAGCTCTCCTTAAGGGACTTCTAGTAACCATCCATCTTATTTCTTCATTATTTTCGAAGTGAACAAAACCATTTTCTATGAGAAATAAACCTTTAAAACATTGTCTGAGAAAACTATTAAATATTCTTCTCAACTCCATATACTGGGAATATGAAATCACTTAAAGGAAATGTTAAATAGTTTTTTTCATCACATTAAAGGATTCTTCTCTGCAATATTTTTAAGTAATTAAATTGGCTCATTTTAGTGTTCTAGATTCTGGCCCAGTTTGATTATTTATACAAAAATACAGACATAAAAATGACATAGATATTATGTTATTTGATTGGCCACTGTCGTTGTTACCCATTGGACAGAAGCTTGACAGCAATCAAATGCAACCTTAGTTTTTGCTCAGTCCACAACTGCACAAAGAGGCAAATGAACCTCAAAGGATTTATTGAATTGTAAAACAAACAGAGGCTGGAGAGGTGGCTCAGTGGGTAAAATGCTTGCTACATAAACACCGAAGTTCAGATCTCCAGAACCAGATAAAAGCCTAGCAAGTTTGTAATCCTGAACTGGGGCTGAGGAATGGAAAGATTCACGCATATTCTGGAGTCTTGCTGGCCAGTCAGTCTAGCAGAAACTTCAAGTTCATCTAAAGACCCTGTCTCAAATGTATAAAGTAGCGATGAGATTGAGATACAGTGCAATGTCAACGATTGCCCTCCACACATGAATACCTGCATGCACATGAATATCACACACATACAAAGTAATTTCATCACAATGGTATACCTTCCCTCCTCAAAATTTAAAGTGTCTTGGTCAATGTTCTATTGACTAAGTGAATAGTGAAGAGACACATTACCACGATAACTCTTATAAAGGAAAACATTTAATTGGGGTGGCTTACAGTTCAGAGGTTCAGTCTAGTCCGTTACCATCATGGTGGGACATGGAAACATGCAGGCAGACATGGTACTAGAGAGGTAGTTGAGAGGTTTACATCTTGTGCAAGCAACAGGAAGCGGCCTGTCTCACTGAGTGTGGCTTTAGCATATATAAGACCTCAAAGCTCACCTCCACACTTTCTCCTATAAGGTCACACCTACTCCAACAAGGCCACACCTCTTAATAGTGCAATTTCCTATGAGCTTATGGGGCATTTACATAAATAGATAATTTGATAAGGAAAGTAAGTGCAATCTCTTGGACAAACTCATTTACACCAAAGACTATTAGAGTGAGGTGAGTGTGCATTCCCAAAATTGTCATTATCTAAGCTTTGGAGTTGCTTTCTCCTGTGCTTGAACTACTCTTCTGAGGCCTTTGCATAATAATAAGTAGTTTCTTCTAGCCCCAGCTACTGCTGTCATACTGTTCCCAAGGTCATTCGGAGGGAGTTTTTTCCTTTGTGAACTTTCCAGGTTTGTGTCCTTGATAAATGTTTGCCTTCTGCCTTTAGGTTGTAGGCTTCAAGAGAAAGAACAAAGGCCCAGCTTCTTTCTTCCTCAGTTCTCTGCCTCTAGCAAAGTGACAGGCACACAGTAGAGCACCGGTTCCCAACCATCTTAATGCTATGACCCTTTAATACAGTTCCTTATGTTGTGGTGACCGTCAACCATAAAATTATTTTCATTGCTACTTCATAATTGTAATTTTGCTACAGTTGTGAATCACAATGTAAACATCTGATATGCAGGATGGTCTTGGGTGGCCCCAGAGAAAGGGTCATTCCACCCTAAAGGGATCACAACCCATGAGTTGAGAAAAACTGAAGTAAATGACCTTGCCTTTCACTGGTGGGGACTTATGTAAATGAAGTGGGAGCCTAACCCCTCTGGGAAGCATAGACTAATGTTTTGTTTATTTCATATTTTCCCCATGCAGAGGCTGTTGCCGGTTCTCCCATTGAGTTCTGGACAAGATAGCAAAAGGGGAGCAGTCTAGGGCATGTCAAGTCCTACCTGGTTTTTAACCCTAACTTTTCTCTAATCTAAGTTTATTGTTTTGGTTCAAGTATAGTTTCATTATAAAGTGTTCCAAACCATTGGATATAGCTGTCTCTGGTACCCCATGTCTGTGTTTTTATAACATCATGATGCCCAACCTTCTGATGATGTAATGGCCCCAGCAACTTAAGTGTGAAGTTCACGTCCATTTACCCACTCTACTATGAAGACCTTCCTAGTTTACAGAGAGCACAGTGAACCACATAAAAAGCAAGTCTACCTGTCTTTCCACTTCAGAGACAGGAAAGTAACATAATATTGCTAGCTTTCCTTAAACTACTTGATAAAACAAAGGAAGATGCCAAAAATAGCAATGAAAAGTTTAAGATCTTTCCCATTATGTAATTCTCTTTTTTCCTGTGGAATAGTTTCTAGAAATAATAGTCACACTATTCCTATATAGGTAGTGGAGAGATTGATATTTGACACAAGGCATATAGACCAGTCAAACAGTCTGTATTTAAGTGTTTGCATCCAAAGATTCAATACCAGAACGTGCCCATCAGTAATAACAAAACATAGTGGCATCTCATCCATGACAACTTCAAATTATCCCCCATTTTATAACAAGAACTTATATTTAGAAGGTTCACAGCTACCTAAAACAATAAACTGCATTTTGCAGGATAGGTTAGAAGTATGTGCTAGACTACATCAAATCCTTAGAGGAATGAATACATCTTCCTGATTGGATATAGGTGACCCATCAATAGACATGAGGGGATGGATATCATTCTTGAGATGTGGGAGACAGGAAAAGCAAGGCAGTCAAAATCAATGTCCTTGTCTTGTGCTTCCAAGGCGCTTGAGAAGGAAAAGCATGTCCATTGTGCATGAATCACTACCTTCTATTTTAAAGATCAAACTCATGTTCTAACACAATAAACTCCCTGGATGATCCCGGGTTAGCTGTGTGATCCAGCAAAGTTACGTGTTCTGAGCTGGAAAGGACCTTTGAGGTTCTCTTCCACCTCATCACTGTACTGAAGTGAAGTCTGAAGTGAAGTTTGATGTTCATAGCTAGTTGGTAGTAGAACAGGTTATAGGCATCCTGCATTCTATTTCATCTTTCCCCTCTTCTGCGCAATTATCAAAACTCCATAAAAATTACTCTGAATTCTCCCTCTTGGAAGCCTGAGCAACTCATTATTTGGAACCAAACATCTCTTATGTCTGAGAATGTAACAAACGGTACAGCCCAATATATTCCAATAAGGCTGCTCAACCTTCCACCATGAGAAGAAAATAAGACACAGCAAGGCCCAGGCCCCCAATCCCATGTGCCACTGCTGGGAACTGATTGAGGAGGAATGCTCATGGTTGTACTTCTGGCCTAATTAACCCTACCCTTTTGGTGTTTCCCCTTTCATCAATGAAACTGGTTATTCTCACTGTGACACCCCGTCACAAGATGCCAAGGCATGGAAGCTATAAATTCAGAAGGCATCTACTCTTTAAAACTCGATTCTATAATATTATGAGGAACAATTATCATCCACATGACTTTTTTTTCTATAAAATATTGCGTTGTTAGTCTTTTTTACTCTTTGCTCTTTGGGTACTTACCACCCAACTTCCAAATAAATACACAGAGACTTATCATTTCTTATACATACCTAGCCCTAGCTTGGCTTGTTTCTAGCCAGCTTTTCTTAAATTATCCCATATACCCTTTTCCTCTGGGCTTTTACCTTTTTCTATCTCTTTTCTTTCCTTCTCTGTGTCTGGCTGTTTGGCTTGGTAGCTGGACCCTGGCATTCTTCTCTCCTCCTTTTTATTTCTTTCTCCTATTTATTCTCTTTACCTAACAGCCATGCCTATCTCTCTCCTGCCTACCTATTGGCCCTTCAGCTCTTCATTAGCCCAATCAGGTGTTTTAGGCAGGATAAGTAACTCAGCTTCATAGAGTTAAACAGATGTAACATAAAAGGATGCAACATATTGTTTGCATAATTAAACAAATATTCCACAGCATAAACAAATGTAACACATCGTTAACTAATATTCCACAGCAAACTTGCAATGGGAGTAACTTCAACAATTAAAGGAACAGTAAGGGAAACACATAAATCATCTAAATAGCTACCAAGGGTTACAGCTCTCTTTGGAGCAGGGAAGAGACTATATAGTAGTTATTAAGAAAGTTACCATAAGCATTACACAAAGTAAACAATATATTCTAGATATTAGCATGTTCCTTGAGCTTCATCCTTCTATTCACTCTCCCTCTATCCTTGGAAACCTGCTTATAATCACTTGGGAAGCCATACACTTATACTTGAATTTCACAAATTTCATTTTTACATGCCAGTACAACACATTTCTTACCATCCTCATTTTCATCAAACACTGGGGCTTTGCTTGAAGTATTGGCTCCCATGGTCAAGTCTTCAGTGACCTGGACACTCTACTTACAGTATGCTGGAAGAAATACTCATCTTTGTCAGTACAGGTCTTGGAAAGTCATCTGGAATTTATAAAAAGAAGGGAACAAAAAAAGTGGTATAGTTATAATATGGTTTGTGATAATGCCCTGAATGTAGACTGTAACAAAAACACTAACTTGTATTTTGTACTTAAATATTATAATAGAAATGATAGTGACTAAGTCAACAGGAAAAGCTACACTGCACAATTAATTATCATCAAAAGCCAATCTCTACTTAAAGCAAAATATTTTCCCAGGTATTAAACAAATTAAGTAAGGTCAGTTGACTTCAACATAAAAATAATATTACCCAAGCTCTAAATTTTAAAGAAAGTAGGCTAACTTTACATTTCCATTTATTTTTTATCTTTATTTATTTATTTTTTGCTGTGTGATTGAGAACAAATTTTAAAATCTTCAGCATGAACTTGCCTTATTTTTCCCTTCTCCTTGGAAGGTACTACACTGGATTGGACATTACTAGCTGGTAGGTGGCATTCTCCAAACATTTTTTTTCCTTCTTCTGAATTTGGAGATGATAATGGTCTTTATTTAAAAGGAGAGTTAAATGTGACCCACATAATTTAACTCTTTGTAAATATATAGCATATATATAAAAATATTATATATTCACATATGACTCCTATGTTGTATCATATGAATACACACATGATTTTGCTTGTTTGGGAGCATATTCTCTTATACAGCTTAGGTTGGTCTTCAGCTTCCATTACCTACCTCAGTCCTCAATAGTTTGTTTACCACAAGCCCTGGCTCTTATCTTTATGTACTCAGTACACAAATGTAAATACATATTTTACACAATAAATGAAGTGCTTTTATGGTATACATATTCAGAAATTGTTGATCACCCTAAAACTCAAATTAAATTATATAACTGAGAGATAAGAGCGCCTGTAAAATGTACATTTATTCACTGATTCCTTTAAAAATGTAAGTGCAAAGACTCTTGCCATCCTGGAACCTATTAAGTCTGGGTTCCAGTCCTAAGAATTGCATGATCATGGCCTTGAAACAGTTACGCAGCCTCTGGCCAATAAAATGGGGACATAACTCCTCCAGGAGTCACAAGCTGGAGTGCCTTTAAGTGCCAGGATGCTCACAAAGGACCAAATCAGACCAGGTACAGGACATTCAGGCCTTATGAGGACAATGGCAACACTGGCTTAATATAAAAAAAAAAAAAAATGCACTCGAGATCAGACAAAGAAATTGTTGCTGTGTGGAAACTCTGGCCAGGGATCTTTAGAACTTCTGCAACAGGATGAAGAGCCAGAATTTATGAAAGAAGATTTTAAAATTCAGTTCAGCTCTACAGCTCAAAAAAAAAAAAAAAAGTCATGCTCGGGACAAATATGATTTATAGATATAAGTAGAAAAGCAATAGAAACACAATAATTAACAAAGTACCTGGCATATAGAGTATGAAAAGAATAAATGTTTGTTTCCATTATTTTAACAGGTACAATATTCCCTTAGCATTTGTTATTTTTTCAGTTGTTGACACTTGTGGACCTTTTGTTTTGTTACTTTTTCCCCTTGGACTTTTTACACATGAAGTAAATGCAGATTAGATGCAGAATTAGAGACATTATCAAGATAGCCTGGTTTATGAGTAAGTTATTTTTTAGAGAGCTCAGAGAATCCCTAGGTATAGAAGAAAATCTCATTTTCTCATTAGGAAAATGTAAGTCAAGCTTTCATTTGGAAGGATGATCCATTAAGGAATTGCCACTTTTCCAACTAAATGCCAACTGTTGGCAAAATGCCTTATGGTCTTTAAAAAGAATCATTAACTGCAGAGCTAAGAAAGAGTCAGCAATTAGGAAGTGACCAATTAAATGAGCTAGGGTTGGGGAGAGGATTGGGGCAGGTGGCTGGTGGCTGCAGCAAGCTCAGTGGGATTATTGAGATCCAGAAAGATAGAGAGGCTACTGTCTATGTAAGTTAAAAAATCAAAAGGCTTTTTAAAAAAGAGAACAATGAATGAAGAAAAAGTATGACCTATGCCCATTGCATTTGATGGAGGGTTAAGAAGCATAATGGAGTACCTTTTGTGCTTTATTATTGCATGGAGTTCAGGGGGAAAAATAAATAGCAACGACTCTACTACTAGCAATATTAGAAAAAGAAAATTGATCCTACACATTTTAAGGAACAATGGTTGTTTAACACCACAGAGTTGGACCATACTCATGTCTGGTAAAAATCTGAATATATGCTTTCACATACCCCTCTTGTATTTGTGTTCACCTCTTATGTTTTTCTAAAGTAGCCCATCTGTCTGCTACATAAGATGTGCTAAGCATTGATGTTGCACTTTGTCAAATCAGATGGGGAAAGAGGTAAGAATATTACCATGTTTTCCCACATTTCAGACTTCTTCTCTGGTGTGCAATTTTACCATCAGTTTCAATGGGAGAAAGGTATATGTAAAGGTAACCGTTGCCATGAAGTTTAGAAGGGGACAGTTAAACGATACTAGATAATGGCTTAGCATCATCCCCATGGTAGCAACTGCATGTAATCTGAGAATTGTCTTTAACTTTTTCTCCTCCAAGTGGATAACGAAATTAGGTAAGTTTCTTTCATAACTAGAAAGAAATGGGCCCTCCTCTGGCAGGAAAACGGTGACTCATTCTTCCTATTCTGTTGAATAGAGAACAAGAGAAATGTTAAGACTCCCATAAAACCTCTACCTTCCCTGACCTACTGTTCTGAGTCCTCAGAGTCAGCTAAGCATGCTGAGCAGTGGCCATGAGAGGAAAGGGAATCCTGGGTATACAGGGAAGAAGACAGATTTGTCTTGCAGGAATGGATAGGAATTTACACTCTACTTTGAGCCCATAACTACCAGATTATTAAGTACAGCCTAATTTTCCAATATCGGCAGTTTAAGTGTGTCTTGTAGGCCTGAACAACTCAGGAGGTGGGCTTCTCTGAGCAGCTCTGTCTCCCTAGTGACTCCTAAACAGAGGACATCAGGTGTGATGCAAGAACGTTGTAACATCTGACAGCATCATGTAGATTTCATTATCACAATGTGTGCATAGTCATAATTAATTTTTTGCATTAAAAACACAACTTAGAGACACAAGAAAGAACAAGAACGGGAAACGTTCAAGTTAGCAACATTCTCTATTAATTGTATTTTTCAACTTTGTTTCATGATTTTTAGGTATTGGAAGTTACAGATAAGTAAACATTTCCACATTAACCCTCAAAACAAACGGACTGCCTCTTCCACCTCCCAGCTCCTGGATCTGCACACACCTCCGCACGTTTAAAACGGAGAAGTGTCTTAAAATAAGCCTTCTGAACAGCACCTCGAAGGGGGTTGCACCTAGCGTCTTGCTGTGCTCATTAGCCATCCTGTTTCGGAGATCTAAGTATGAGCATGCACATCTTTACAACTCTGATGTATGCTTTGTAAGTGCCCCCTAGCAATCCATGGTGTCAATACAGCACACTTTACTTTTCTGTGTGAAAATGTTCAAACTCTTTGGCTTTGGATGGGGCAGGGAGGGGGCCTTGTGAAGATGATGACAAGAATACGGAAAGCAATGCTAGCTTCTTCCGAAACTAGATAAAGGAAGCTCATGGGAAAACCTCCCCTCACTCATTTCTACCCAGAGATCATATATCTTGAAGTCTTTGGGATCAAGGTGGTGCGAAGCTGGAGGAGTAGATGAGGGTAATAACTAGGGTAGGTCCTATCTTCCATCTGGTTGTGCCAGCCCCGCTGACTGACAGACTGCTTTTGTGTTTTCTCATCCCCATCCCTTTCAACTTCTCAGCTTCCCAACAGTGACCTTCTTCACTCAGGGCGATTCTGTATGTGCAATCTCTACTCACCCACTCCGAGTCCTTTCTCCAGCCCTTCCACTCACCTCAGGATGATGATTGCACTCGAGGAGCTGGGACTGACCACACTCTGCAGGCCGAGAGCAATAGGGACAGAAGGGACAGAAGACACCTGCCTAGCAGGACGCGGCTGCTGGAGCAGCTCAGGCAGGGCTGCTTGCTGGGCTCCAGGCACCTGCGGCTGTAGAAGGGACCAAGCGAAGCCGCGCAGCTCCCCAGCGAGGGGCGGGTCCCGGGAGAAGAGGAAAGCGCCTTGCAGTCCGCCAGGGGCGTCCCCAGACGGCGCCCTCCCCCGGAGCGGACTGCCAGTCGCCTGGACCGGTGCCAGTCGCCCGGGAACTGTGCGTTAGCGGGGGGGGGGGGGGGGGGGGGGAGGCGGACGAGCGCCCCGGGAGGGCGAGCTGGAAAGCAGGAGGGCGTGGCTGGGAGCCCGGGTCCCTGGCTCTGTCTCTAGTTGCTGCACGTTGAGCGGTCCCCAACTTCTCAGACCCAGGCAGGTCGGGATTTTCCTCAAAGCGTCTGTGGAGAGGACTCCTGTCCCCCTGCTTTACTCCTGGCAGCGCTGCGGGGTGGTGGGTGTGAGGGTGGCAGGTACTAGAGAAGTAAGAACAGTCCATGGCGTGCCCCCATTTTATTGCTGGGTAATTATTCAGGGAATGGTTGCCCACCATAGCAGAACCATCTGTGGGGACACCTTCCTGGCCCCCAGTGTTTTCTCCACCTCTGTATGCTCACTTGCTGGTGGAAGAAAGAATGGGGACCCCCCACAAGCACAGAGGAAGTGACCAAGAGAGAGGCATCCAGGCCATCTTCCAAGGCAGTTAGTTCCCTCTACTTCCCTCTGTAATCATCAGCGCAGTTGAAGTAGCTTCTTATTTCGCTCCAAGGCCACGGTCACACTATTCCAGTCAAGAAAAGAGTGGTCCAGCAGCTGCTTCAGAAATGACCTGTGTGACAGCAGGGCAGCTGCCAGGAGGGAACAAATGGGCAGTGGGGGATCTAGTTAGGAAGTGGCAACAAATTCTGCCCATCTTCATGTATTCCTGCCATATGGGAATCCCAGATAACCTCTGTGGAATACTCAGATCGGTTAAGGGAAAGTGAAAATGAGAACTGTGGGATTAAATCTG